TCGTCAAGGTTAAATATTCTTTCGGGTTTGTAAGGATATTTTCCAAGAGCGCGGGAAAGGTTTTCGTAAAAGGCCATCACATTTGTCTGATTGAAACTAGTGCCTCTTGAAAGACTAGTATTTTCTGGTTTTCGTAGAGAAAGGTTTTGATGCCTTTTCATAAAACCTTTTACCCAATCTATACCGGCTATTTTGTTCTCGTTCCACTTTTCTGGAAATATTCGTTCAAGTTTCACGGCATATTGGTAAGCTAGACTTTGCAGGATTTTATAGGTTAGTCCGTAGTTCATACGAGAACATTTCAAAATATAAACAACCAAAAGTTCTTCTTGTTCCTTTGTAAAAACCTGTCTGAAGCTATGTTTAGATGAGAAATGTTCGCGACTTTCTGGTGGAGCATCACAGTCCCCTACTTTTTTTAGACGGTAAAAAAGTGAAGTGTGGGTAACACCATAAATTTCAGCAGCCTTTCTTAGTGTTAGCTCTTTTTTCTTAACAACTTCCATAGCTCTTTGCATATCATCTTTTTTGAATTCTGGCTTAGATCTTTTCTTTATATAAGTCCTTACCATTGTATAAATCTGAAAAAAAGTAATACCTATTTAGGTATATACATACTATTTAGCTTTTATGCTCTATACAACACGTAATGCATATTTCTTTGTGCATATTATCATGCAACAACACTTGTTCAATTGTGCCCCTGCTTACTTGTTCAATTGTGCCCCAGGTAGCAACAAAATAAATAACATAAAATAAAAAAAAATTAAGTGGACCTACCTGTATATTACTAACAACGTAATAATTCTTAACAGTTGGATATGCCGTGAAAATTAAATAATAAAAGAAACACACAATCTGTAGATTGAAATAACAAAAACTGTCCACTCGATATATTACAAATTAGCGGCGTTAAAAAACAACTGTACGTTGTACCGGCTCAAATTACTAACTGATCATAATATTTGTTTCTAGATGTCTTTAAGAATATGGACATTGTTGCCAAACCGTTTAAACGAAAATCTCCAACTGGCTTAAAAGTTACAGTTAATGTTCAAAAGTGCCCCCGTTCAAAGGTGCCCCCTCTCCCCTATTTATTACAAAGTTATTTACAAAAACGAACACAAATAGAATTAATAATATCTCAAGTAAGGAAATAAGTAACATATCGCATGCCTCAAGATACTTTCATAGGTTCTATATTATTTAATTTTATTTTAAATAATTTGTCGTTTAAATACATATGGAAATATTGTAAGTTTTTCAGACGACACAGTTATTCTGTAAAATGCAGAGAACTAGAATTGATTAAAATTATTAATAGAAACAGATCTTATTAAAATGTTCGAATGGTTTAATTATAAAAACTTACAAACTATAATTCAGGTAAGTAATAAAATAATGTTTTCCTAGTCTCCACGAAGTGTTATTAAGACCCTCAATGCACTTAAGCGATAAGCTTAACGCGATTCTATTCTAATTGTTGCTATTTTTACTGTTGATGTTTTATGATGTTTATTTCTTTGTTGTTTGCATACAACTTTTGATTATATTTAATTTCGGTGTGCAAAGGTTCCGCGTCCTTAATTTTTATTGACTATTCACTTTTATATTTTTTGGTTTATTTTCAGGCATCCAGTGTTAACGAGTCAACATTATTAGCTAGCTAAAAAGTCGCATATGGAGTTGCTAAAGCAGAGAAACCACATACAATTGGTTAAAATTATGGTCAGTAAGCAGTAGGCAAACAAATTAAAAAACACCACTTTCTGACAATACTATTTCACGCAGAATAAACGATATGGCCAAGGATATTCAAGAACAGCCAAATTAAAGAACAGCCAATATTTTGCTTTGCAGTTTGACGAATCTACATATGTTTCCGACTGTGCACAGTTTGTAGTATTTGTGCGCTTTGAAGCAATGACAGTATCACGGAAGAAATCTTATTTTGAAAAGTACTTCCTGCAAACACTACTGGCCAGTGTTTGTACGATATGTTTTTAGAAAGCACTTGCAAGTACGATATAGATTGGAAAAAATATATCGCTATTTGTAGCGATGGCGCTAAAGCTATGACTGGCAAAAATTGGGGACTCATTGCAAAATTAAAATCTATAATGCCAAACATATCCTGGACACACTGTTTTCTTCATCGACAGGCTCTAGCTGCTAAGGTAGTACCTTCTGATTTAAATGACGTGCTCAAGGAGGTAATAAAAATTGTGATTTCTATCAAAGGTAAAGCTTAGCAAACCCGGCTATTCAGAATCGTTTGTGAAGACATGGACTCGCTTCATCAAAATCTCCTTTATCACACAGAGGTAAGGTGGCTATCCAAAGGACAAGAGTTACAAGATGCAAAATCTGAACATGCTTATCGTTTTTCTAACCCTATTTGGTTCTTAAAATTAGCATTTTTGGTAGATCTTTTTAGCCACCTTAACAATTTCAACAAGAGAAGAAAATTTATAACAGCTAAAGATAAAGTAAAAGCATTTCACGCAAAACTTCGTTTGTGGTCAACCTCTCTGCAAAACAAAATATTTGAGTCTTTTCCATGTGTTCAGAAGATTGTTGAAGATAATGTAATAGACCAGTTTTGCAGTATCACATTCCTTGCATGATACAGAGCTTGCATAATTTACAAGAGAAACTTTTGACATATTTTTCAGACTTGCACTCTGAAGCTGACAATGGATTTTAAACCCTTTTTTAGACAAATCAATAGATCAGGCTGATGTCACCACAAAAATGAAAGAATGTCTTCTAGATTTAGCTACTGATGGCATGCTTAAAATGGAATTTTATTCGCAGTGTCGACGTATTTTGGATGAAAAGAAAACACGAATATCCAGAGCTGGCAAGGGAAGCTGTTAAATTATTAGTGCCATTCGCCACTTCATACTTGTGTGAACTGACATTTTATTCAATGGTAGACATTAAAACTAAAAAGAGAAATAGACTGCAATTAGAAAATGATTTGATTATTAACGTTTCAGAAATAGCACTACAATTTGATAAACTTTTGAAAAATAAACAAGGACATCCTTCTCAAATTTGTGTTTTGTTTCGACTTTTTCTTTCAGCCGGCGACCCCCCCAGTAAGGCTTCGCGACCCCCTAGAGGTCGCGACCCACAGATTGAAAAACACTGGACTATAGTAATGTAGCTAGTAGAACAATATGATGTTTGTAGGTACACTTTGATTATGATGAAATTAAATGTGTTTTCCAGTTAACAACTCTATTTACACTATAAACTTTCTTCATCTTACAACAATTTTACATGGTAAAAAGATACAAGCACCTACTTAAATTTATGTTTTACGAATATTTAGCAGGTTAATACATCTCAAAATTACCGTCGAGTTTGGTGTCGGTAGTCAAAATCATTCTCACTGTTACTCAAGCGTGTGTGTAGTTGCTATTGTGGACATGTTTGGTTGTGATTGGTCGAGGGACATTGTCTGATGTTGACGTGATTTACTTTGCAGAGAAGGATATAATATTGTCGTTTGTAGGTGTGGATGTGTTTTAACAGTCGATTTTTTACTATACTTATGTTAGCGCAAAAGAGACAGCTGATTGTAGATATCTAGACAAAAGAGTGAAAAGCCTGTAACGTTACAACAGAAAATTCAGAAATTCAGATACTCAAGCGACCTATTATATGCCGAAAGCCAAATCGCAAGTTAACTTACCTTCTCAGTCTTATTAAATTCGTAATAGAAACCTCCGTCGTGTACCACAAGTAAGTAAATCACTCACATCAACGATCCCATTCATATTTTGCTCCAAAAATACATAACCAATTACCTGAAACAATAAAAACAATTTAAAGTAAAATTAAAATATAAAAAAGCAGGTTTTAAATAAGATTTTTTGTCTAAATTTAAACACTGAATTATAAAACATAGGCCAACCCTTTCGAACTCAATGGCACTCAATGGAATAACGACAGCAAGGTCAACATAGAGCACGAATTACATCAACCGTACCTACTATTGAACGTAACGTGACCTGATACAGACATAGAAAAAGAAAATACTATCTTTTATCTCTCTATTAATACAACGTATCCCACTTACACTGCAACTGAAGTAATTTGGACGGCTACTAAATCTTTCCAATAAGATTTGAAATCAAAGCGTCTTTAACTGTCATCGCATTATCCAATCTTAATTCTATATACCTATCACTCTTTCAATGCTTTAAGCCGGCATTTTACATTAAAAGTATTACCACTTACTGAAACAAATCTCCTCGAATTTAATCGAAAGATAAACCTGTAAATTTATTGTGCATCTTCTAGCACTTGTTGCAATAACTACTATTCTAGAACACGTTAACACTAATTTAGCCAGGCCTATTTTTTAAAAAATGTATTACCCGTTTTATGTAGCTTGTGCCCTTTTTGAGTCGAAAATCATTCAGTATTTGGTTATTTTTTTTACAGTCCCATTTCCATGATAATGAAGCTGATGTATCAAGAGGCGTCTTAGAAACACCCGATAAAACTACTCCGTCACGATAGCGAAAACAAAATATTCAAAGAAGAAAAAAGAAAAAGCCAAAATCAAGCGAAACCTGGGACACTCTTATGATAGTAGTAGAGGAAAGAAAGTTGAAGATAGAAAGATTGGTCAGAAGAAGTGCAGAGAGAAGATGGTTGGAAAGGAAAAAGACATTTTCAACGATTTTTGGAATTTGGGATCTTATAAAGAACAAAACATTTATTTGGATATATAAAAGCCGTACCGAAAAAACGCTCATATAGGGAAAAAAGGCAAGAATCTTCCAGGAAAGTAAATTATCAATATTTAGTAAAGTTAAATGGCTTAGACATACAAATCTGTAAACAAGACTTTTTATCCATGCATGGATTACAAAACTCTTCTAAAAGAATACGACTTCTTTGCAAACAGATTGCAGAAGGAAGAAGTGTTCTAAAAAATGACGCACGAGGGAAGCACCACACTAGACACAATAGGATTCCATATGAGCAAGTACACTGCTCTTGATCGCATCAAGGCTTTTCCAAAATATGTTAGCCATTATAGTAGAAAGAATAATCCCAACAGAGTATACTTAGATCACGACGTTTTCATCTCTTCTCTGTACAAAGATTTTTACCTTGACTGGTGTAAAGATAAAAACATTACACCAGTAAAAGAAGATATGTATAGAAGGATATTCTGTAATGAATACAATATCGGCTTTAAACTTCCAAAAAGAGATACGTGCCATACATGTGACTGCCTAAATATTTTGATCCAGACAGAAGACCTTCATCATAGGCGAGCAGCTGCCATGCAGAACAGCTTGAGAGAGGAAGTGGAATCAGCCAAAACTAATGGGGATAAAATTGTGCTTACTTTTGACTTACAACAAACACTTCCTACACCAAGTTTAACTGTTGGTCCTGCCTTTAATTTGCGAAAGACTTGAACTTATAATCTAGGTGTCCATGATTGCGTAAGTGGAAAAGCAACCGTGCTCATGTGTCCGGAAATAACAGAGAAGCGAGGTAGTGAAGAAATCGCTAGTATCCTGCTAAAGTATCTTTCTTCCAAAGACACAACTGGCCAAAAAGATCTTGTGATTTTTACAGACAATTGCGGGGCCAGAATAAAAATTGGCAAATCATTTCTCTCTGGTCGCAGCTCGGGAGAGAAAATAAATTTAGAACTATTGAGCACAAGTTTCTTATTTCCGGCCACACTTATCTACCATGTGATCGTGACTTCGCGCTCATAGAGAAGCATAAAATATACTTGGGCCAGATTCTCCAGAAGACTGGTTGAAAGCGGGTAAATAAATTTGATGTGTTTATTATGGAACAAAGTGATTTTTTTCTTTGGACAGCATAGCAAAGAAAAACGTGACTGATGATAAAGGTCCTTTGCGTTTTAATAAGGTACTATGTTTCCGCTTTGAGTCTCAAAATCCGAATATAACGTTAGTGAAACATGAAGTGAATGGAAATTTTAAACAGGTAAATATTGAAAAACGTGGTAATATGCTTTGCCAACAGTCCAACAGAATTTTAGAAAACTTGAAAAAAAAAATATGATAAGCCTGTACAGCTAAACAGTAAAAAAGTGGAAGACTTGAACTGTTAACCAAAACTTCTACCTAAATATTTTTAAAACAGTTTATAATGTCACTACTGGGGATACAGGTACAGAAGAAAATTACGTGGAATGTGTTGATGGTGAACCTAATACAGACATTGACGAAGAGTTTTAGAAGTCGAGGTTTATTCTTTTTTAAATCAGAATCTAAGTTTTTGTTCCTTTTATTTTTAATATATCTTATTCACTTGTTATTTGTGGGTCTTTTTATTTCAAAAATACGTAATACCTTTTTAAAGACGTAAACGTCACAAGCCACATTTTTTTTCTATTTTCAAGAAAATATCCGTTTTTAAAAACAAATTAACAATTTTTTTGTTAGAAGCTAATAAGTAAACCAGTCCTCCATACATATCACATAAAATCGTTCGTTTGAAAATACATATCTTATTTCAGGATTAAGTTTAAAATTAAGTTTTCTCAATAAAAGCCAAATGTGGCTTATGTACCTTGTTCCCACGAGCGCTTCAATTGTAGTTTTACTTTTTTTTATTAATTTTATTTTTGCCGACGATAACAACGTGACATCTAGAATTTGCCGTTATCTCCATCTGAAGCTGCTCGAGCCCTTAAGCAAGCTGAATCGAAGGGTTGTTGAGCAAACAACGTCAACAAAACTGGCGCCCGAGTAATTGTCGGACCTAAGGTGTCAAAGGTATGGATTATTTATATACGGCTATATACAGCTCAGTTGCGGTCAAGACTATTAACTAATGGATAGATTGCTGAGAACTAGTAAAAAAGTGGCTGTCTAACGGGACTTGAGGCCGAAAACTGGCAAATTGTATCTTATGAATATTTTATATATTGAGATAGATATTTCTACGACATTTTTAATATTTTTGTAAATTTGAGATTTATCGATACTGGAATGGTTAAATTTCTCAAAATGGGATTTTGGAAAGAAAAATCGAATAATTTTGGAATTAAGAAATCAGTGGGAGAATTCAGATGTTGGAAGATTGTCAGGATTTAAAAATATTGTTATTATGAAAGGATTTTTTTTTTAAAAAAGCCGAAATTAAATAAAATAAAGTTTGAAAGGAAGAATATAATTTATTAAAAAGTTTGAAAATAAGTTCGAGATAAAAAAATAAGTATTTTTGGAAAGGAGCTGAACAGAGTTTAAAAAGAAGTGCAGTGTGCAGTATTAAAAGAAAGCAGAGCAAGTAGATGGTTAACCCACGGCACTTAGGCCTCACTAGATCCTAGGCACCTTCTAACTCGTGATCCAACCTACAGATTTAATATAAAGGGATATGCTCATCTTCTTGTTCGCACCCCCTGTAGAGTGCGGATTCTGACAGCCTCATGACATAAAGATGTTTCCGTACTCGGCATAACTAGTCAGAATGTCTTTGATCAGGCACAGATTCTGTCTAGCCATAATCAAGTATTTGTTTGCGGTAGTGTTGTCCGGAATACTTAAAAGCTCCCTGGCAAGTCTGCAGCTTCTTATTTCATTACATCTTTCCTTGAATTTCACAAGAGAATGTTTTTTAATTAGATTTGCACTACCGATGTTGTCAGTCCAATAGAAGGGTCAGGTTCAAAAAGTAGGCTAGTGAATCAGCAAGTCGGTTACCTTTCGATGTGGCGTGACCTTTCATTTATCTTAAGGTGACCACATTGTTGATGGATGCTTCAGCCAACGCTTCGTGACATTCCAGTGCTAACCCTGAGTATATTGGTGGTCTGTCCAGGGTTAGTAGTGCGCGTCTGCTATCTGTACAGATGAGCATGTTCTTTTTAGTGATATTGTTTCTGATGAATTCTTTTGTTGCTATGATAATCCCCGTGAGCTTGGTTTAAACTATACTGGCACTATTTCTCACAGCCAATTTTATGTTCAGGTTTAAGGATCTGGAGTTAATTCCACATCCTGAGCCTTGTTTTGTTTTAGAACCGTCGGTGTAAATATTAATGGAACCTGCCACTTCCGGCTCTTCTATTTGTTCCCTTATAATTTTATATGGCTTATGAAAGACATATCTCGGTGAGATGGAGTCTATGTTCGCTCGAGCGTGTGTATCGAGCGCCTCCTGCCAAAAACAACGTCTCGCTTTACTAGATCCTACATCAGATTCTATTCCAAGCATGCGGAGGTGTGGAGGTGTGTCACTGTTATGTTGATGTAAATACCAAGGGGAGCGAGACTAAGAATGACTTCCATGGTTCTGGTTGGTATGATTTTCATGGCTCCTGGCAAGTAAATGTAAAGAAAGTAAAAAGATAGAGCGAAGACAAGATTCAAAAGAAGAAAGACGAACAGACAAGTAGAGAAGACAAAGGAAATTTTGTTTTTGTTATATGTTGGTAAATTTTAATTCGGCATTCATTTTTGTTAACTTCTCAAAAGTTTGAACTCAAACCCAATAGAGTTATTTGAAATTTCAAATCTGAGGGTATTAAAAATATCACATCAATATATAATAACATTAAATTTACTATAAAAATGTATTATGAAGGGTAGGTCCACTGTGTCGAATCTTGTGTGCAAAACACAATTTTTGGCAGAGGCTTTAGATAGACGGTCGATGTTATCTATACCGACTTTTCTAAGGCATTCGATAGAATTGATCATCAAATCCTATTATAAAAATTAAAGTTTAAGGGACTATCTGATCTTCTTCTTTTACTTATCGATTTTTAATAGACGTCAGTACGTGCAACACCAAGGATTTAGATCAAACCGTTTAAAGCAAATTTCAGGTGTACCGCAGGGTTCGGTCCTTGGGTCCCTTCTTTTCATAGTTTTTATTGATGACATTATTGGCAAAAGCATATAAGTAAAATACTTAATGTATGCTGATGATTTAAAAGTTTTTGCTGAAATACGGAACTTTGTTGATTGCACAGCTTTACAAAGTTGTTTAGTTGAATTATTGCTATGGTGTACTAAAAATTATTTGAATTTGAATCCTGGTAAATATAGTGTTATGACATATACTAGGAAAAAATGATATTTCACCTTTGATTATCAGATCAATGGCACTGTGTTGAGTAGGTCGGAGTTTAAAAAGCATCTGGGAGTCCATTTTGACAGGGAATTAACTTTCGCAAGGCATATTGAGCAGACAGTTATGTGTGCTTCACGGAGTCTTGGTTTTGTAATACGAAATTCCAAACAATTTAAAAATATACATACAATGAAGTTATTATATATTAGTTTTGTTAGATCTAGACTTGAGTACGCGTCAGTTGTATGGAATCCATCACTTAACATTTATAGTAGCGCTATTGAAAATGTGCAAAGAAAATTTATGAAGTCCGCATCATATCTTCTAGACAATATCTATCCTGATAGAGGATTTCCTCATGATCAACTGTTGTCGGGCTTTGGTTTAATGGAACTGCACATACGCCGTAAAATGAAGCTAGTTTTATTCCTACGAAATATTTTACATGAAGGGCTGAACTGCATTGAGTTTCAAGATTATATCAACATTAAAGTACCCCGCCCTGGCCTTAGAAGCTTAAGCTTTTACTTGCCAGCTGCAAATACAATTATTTTGAACGGTTCTCCAATTTTTCAAATGATCAATAATTATCATCGCCTTCAAGACAGTTTGGATATTTTTAGTTGTAAGAAAATCGATATTTTTAGAACTATTACCATATAAACTGAGTAGGTGTTTATCATGCTTGGTATGTGTGTATTTATTTTATTTTAATTTAATTTTTTAATTCTTTTAAATTTGTTTTATGCTCCTTTAAGAACTTAAATATAACTGAATATTTTACCTTCAGTTTTCCTTAAAAATAGGCTTTATTGTACTTCTTATTTGTTTCATGTTCAGTCATATCTGATGTTCCAAACTTGTTTTTAATTTATGTTCATCCCACTCTGTAATTGGTTTTTAACTGTTGAGTGGTATACTAAATAAATAAATAAATAAATAAATAAATAAATAAATAAATAAATAAATAAATAAATAAATAAATAAATAAATAAATAAAATAAATAAATAAATAAATAAATAAATAAATAAATAAATAAATAAATAAATAAATAAATAAATAAATAAAATAAATAAATAAATAAATAAATAAATAAAATAAATAAATAATCAATTAGGTTTGTTACATACACACATTTATTAGAAATGTTAATAGTAAAGATTAACTCAGTAATAATTGTATACTACGAGTATATTAATTCCTTAACTGGCCGAATACTGCCACATTTACCCCACTCATTTTCACTACTGAAATGACCGCAGCATTCACGTCACCATCTCTTAGACAGTACAGTTAATAAAAACCAAACAATAAAAAGTCGAATAGCAATTTTTAATAAATCAAACGTTATTT